TCTTCTTCTTCTTCTTCTTCTTCTTCTTCTTCTTCTTCTTCTTCTTCTTCTTCCTCGTTCTCGATCACACTCGGCGATAACCCTGTCTAAGTTTTGACATAAGATCGTGCTGAAGCACTAGAGACCCCCACCAACTTCCTGATATCATCAGACCTCAAGAAGCAATGGGCCATAGACAAGCTTCCATAAGAAGGCGCACTGCAGACGAGAATGTTCTGAGTAGTCCTCTTGGCTCACAATGTCTTTTATCGTAAGTTTTTGTCCCCAGAAACAGTGAATCGTAATTAACCCTTTACAGCCCGTCAGAATTTGTCTACAACCACGAATGCGTAGCAAACAGAGTCACGAATCACCAAGTCTTTTATTTTTTAAGTATTGGGCTCTATGGCTTTCACGCTACATGTTTCTCTAAAACTTGAAAACAACCCAGAAAGAATGAGGTCACCGCAATGGGTCTAAACTATTTAAACCCCTGCGGCCAGTCAACTGGCAGAGTTTGTATATATCTACCTCTGTGGTGTGGGCTGATCTTCAGAGCCCGCACAGGACACTTACATTCCAACAAGCACATAAACAGAATTAACCCCATGTGGGAACCCCATTGCAGACACTGTGATTACCACGAGGAGACCGTTGAACATCTTCTCCTTCACTGCTCAAACCTGGCAGTTCTTCGACGCAAGCTTCAACACACACCTTCAGACTTACAAAGCCTGCTTTACTTTGGCGTTGACCAGATGACAAGGACACATGGTTACTTGAGGACGCATTGCGCTGCCAAGAGCGAAATGCTCGCAGCTAAAGGGATTTGAAAACAACAGGACCAACAACCTCTGTGGTGTTTCTGCAAGGTGCTTCGTCATCGCACAAAGGAGACCTAAGCTCGATAACCGCGTGGGGACAAGTTTTTTCCAATATCCTGGTCTTTTTTCTAGGAGGTTATATATTTCTCAGCCAGAATTGGCCCTGACAGGCAGGGTCGGAGCCTGCCACGTTTGTTTTTGTAAGAGTTTTACGGCGCTCGCAACTGCATAAGCTCATATGAGCGCCCGAAGATTAGAGGTGTTACAAGAGAGTAACAAACATAAAAAAGAAAAAGGGGAGATAAGGACGATGGATGTCTCATGGGAAAGAAGAAGCAAACACCACCAGAGCACCCGCCAACCACCCACAAGCCCGCCTCTTCTATAAGGTTGTGTCAATGGGGTCGTAAAACACCTGCATTTGAAAATTAAAAAAAATATAGTTCGCATGTAACCAACTGTACCTCATCGGTCAGCTTTTCGTTGTTAATCCTCAAGCTTCCCATGTTCTCTTTCTCTTGCAGCTTAACTTTAACTATAGTGCGGTCAAAAATTCGTGACGTAATTTATCTTCAAATATCTCTTTAACAGGTAAATCAATTACACCAATTCTTTGTACAGCATTTTGTATAAATCATATTTTCGAATAGTTTAGGAAATACTTGTCCATAATTGGTCACTTTTAAGCACAAGTGGGCTATCCCCGAAAATGCTGTTTTGAGAAAATCGAAGGTAAAGTTTTGGCCTGTTTTTCGGTTTTTTTTAAAGACAAGGAGAGTTTTCTCTATAACCAAAGAAATATACGTACCATTGAAACCAAACTTCTCTTATAGGTAGGGCAATATTCATTTTTTGGTGTAGGTCAATAATCCGGGTTAGCCCTCTTGTCCTTAAGCCTTAAAAGCGGCCAATTTGCTCCGCGAATTAATTTTTGACCGCAAAATACACGGCTGGTCAGTACAGCAGACTCACGGCATTGCGCGATTGTTTACAGCCGTAGCAAAACAACTACAAAACCCCCCAGCCTATCCTTATTATAGTTTTACAGCACTTGCAAGACAATAATAAGGTCAAAGAAGTGCTCAGGATTAGAAGTGTATCGAAAGAGTAACAAACACAAAAAAGGAGGAGAGACAAACTACTGTATGTCTATAACTTGCTTGGAGCATTCATTTCTACTCAGTTAAGTGTTGGTTTAAGAAAAAGAAGAAATAAGTGAACAAGAAGCTGGGCCATTGGGAAGTTTGTGAAGCTGAAAACTTGGATGATAAAACTGGCTGTGGACAAAGGAGGAATTGCCTTACCCGTTCTAAGAGCTGCTTTACTTTACGTTACTTTACCCTTTCTCGTGGCTGTGTCGTTAGATGTCAGT